GTTTGCATCTGGGAACTAGGAAGACTGTTTATTTGTTTTGTTTATTTTGAGACAGGTTTTGTTCTGGTACCCAAGCTGCAGTGCAGTGGTGCAAACATGGCTCACCGCAGGCTGGACCTCCTGGGCTCAATCGATCCTCCTACCTTAGCTTCCTAAGTAGCTGGATCCACAGACATGTGCCACCACACCCAGTGAATTTGGGAAGATTTACTAAATGTCAAAAACACAACACAAATATAGGGCAAAAGTGATTGATTTCATCAAAGTTAGGTTACTTCTATGAATAAAAGTACACTTGATGGCTGGGTACAGTGGTTCACGCCTGTAATCCCAGCACTTTGGGAGGCTGAGGTGGGTGGGTTTCCTTGAGCCTAGGAGTCTGAGATCAGCTTGGACAACATGGTGAAGCCTCTTCTCTACAAAAAATACAGAAATTAGCCAGGTGCTGTGGTGCATGCTTGTAGTCTCAGCTACTTGGAAAGTTGACACAGGATTATCATTTGAGCTGGGTGTATTCATCTGTTTTCACACTGCTGATAAAGACATACCTGAGACTGGGAAGAAAAAGAGGTTTAATTGGACTTACAGTTTCACATGGCTGGAGGCCAAAGGCACTTCCCACATGGCAGTGGCAAGAGAAAATGAGAAAGGTGCAAAGGCAGAAACTCCTAATAAAACCATCAGATCTCATGAGATTTATTCACTACCACAAGAACAGTATGGGGGAAACTGCCCCCATGATTCAAATTATCTCCCACCAGGTCCGTCCCACAACACGTGGGAATTATGGGAGTACAATTCAAGATGAGATTTGGGTGGAGACACAGCCAAACTATATCATTCTGCCCCTGGCCCCTCCAAATCTCATGTCCTTGCATTTCAAAACCAATCATGCCTTCCCAACAGTCCTCTGAAGTCTTAACTCATTTCAGCATTAGCCCCAAAGTCCACATTAAGACAAGGCAAGTCCCTTCCACCTCTGAGGCTGTAAAATCAAAAGTAAGCTAGTTATTTCCTAGATATGATTTGGGTACAAGTACTGGGTAAATACAGCCATTCCAAATGAGAGAAATTGGTCAAAACAAAGGGGTTACAGGGCTCATGCAAGTCCAAAATCCTGTGAGGTAGTCAAATCTTAAAGCTCCAAAATGATCTCCTTTGACTCCAGGTCTGACATCCAGGTCACGCTGATGCAGGCCGTGCATTCTCATGGTCTTGGGCAGCTCTGCCCCCGTGGCTTTGCAGATTATAGCCTCCCTCCTAGGTGGCTGGGATTGAATGTGGCTTTTCCAGGCGAATGGTGCAAGCTGTTGCTGGAACTACCATTCTGAAGTGTGGAGAACAGTGGTCCTCTTCTCATAGCTCCACTAGGCAGTGCCTCAGTCGGGACTCTGTGTGGGAGCGCCAACCCCACATTTCCCTTCTACGCTGCCCCAGCAGAGGTTCTCCATGAGCACCCTGCCCCTGTAGCAAACTTCTGTCTGGGCATCCAGGCATTTCCATACATCTTCTGAAATCTAGACGGAGGTTCCCAAACCCCAATTCTTGACTCTGTATACGCGCAGGCTCAACACCACGTGGAAGCTGTCAAGGCTTGAGACTTGCAACCCCTGAAGCCACAACCCCTGAAGCCACGGCTCTATGTTGGTCCCTTTCAGCCATGGCTAGAGCAGCTGGGACACAGGGCACCAAGTCCATAGGCTGCACACAGCACAGGGACCCTGGGCCTGGCCTTCGAACCCATTTTTTCCTACGCCTCACAGGCTGTTGTGATGGGAGAGGCTGCCATAAAGACCTCTGGCATGGCCTGGAGACATTTTCTCCATGGTCTTGGGGATTAACATTTGGCTCACTATTACTTATGCAAATTTCCACAGCCAGGTTGATTTTTTCCTCAGAAAATGGGTTTTTCATTTCTATCACATTGTCAGGCTGCAAATTTTCCAAACTTTTATTCTATTCCTCCCTTATAAAACTGAATGCTTTTAACGGCACCTAAGTCACTTCTTGAATGCTTTGATGCTTAGATTTTTTTTTTCGCCAGATACCCAAAAGCATCTCTTTCAAGTTCAAAGTTCCACCAATCTCTAGGGCAGAGACAAAATACTGCAAAATACAGTCTTTTTGCTAAACATCACAAGAGTCACCTTTGCTCCAGTTGCCAACAAGTTCCTCATCTACATCTGAGACCACTTCAACCTGGACCTTCTTGTCCATATGGCTACCAGGCTTTTGGTCAAAGCCATTCAATAAGTGCATAGGAAGTTCCAAACTTTCCCACATTTTCCCGTGTTCTTCTGAGCCCTCCAAACTGTTCCAACCTCTCCCTGTTACCCAGTTCCAAAGTTGCTTCCAGATTTTCAGGTATCTTTTCAGCAACACCCACTCTGCTGGTACCAATTTAATGTATTAGTCCATTTTTATGCTGATAAAGACACACCCAACACTAAGAAGAAAAGTAGGTTTAATTGGACTTATAGTTCCACAGGACTGGGGAGACCTCAGAATCACGGTGGGAGGCAAAAGGCACTTCTTGCATGGTGGCAGCAAGAGAAAACAAAGAAGATGCAAAAGCAGAACCCCCTGATAAAACCATCAGATCTTGTGAGACGTATATACTACCACAAGAACAGTATGGGGGAAACCGCCCCTGTGACTCAAATTATCTCCCATCGGGTCCCTCCCACAACACGTGGGAATTATGGGAGTACAATTCAAGAGAAGATGTGGGTAGGCACACAGCCAAACCATATCATGAGGTAAGCAGAGGTTGCTGTGGGGTGAGATCGTGCTAGTGCACTCCAGAGCCTGGGCGACAGGAGTAAAACCCTGCTTCAAAAACAAACAAAAACCCAAACTGAAACAAAACCCTGGACAAAGTATATAAAAGGACCATAAAGAGAAATTTTTATAGTGTCTTAAACAGAATTAATTTATTGACTAATCAGAATACACAAAACTTTTTCAAAAAGGCAAAAGTCCTGATAGAATATGGGGTAAAGCATTATCAACAGATGATTTATAGTAAAGATAGAAAATGTTATAAGCACATACAGACATGCTCAGACTCATCAGTAATCTGAAAAATTCAGTAGTGAGATGACACTTTACATCTGTTATGTTGGGGAAAACAAGAATGCTTGATAATACCAAGGTTGGGAAGAATGTGGGGCCATAGTAACCGTCAAAACATTGGGAACGTAGACTGGTATGGCATTCTGGATAGCAACCTGAAATTATTTGGTCAGACTGAGAATATTCATACTCCACAACAACAATTTATCTTCTGTTCATCCCAGACTATATGTAAAATTAAAAGACAAACACAAAATGGAAAATATATTTACAGTATATAGAGTAGACATATAATTATTATCTAGAGTATATAAAGAACTGAGAGAGAGAGAGATGAGAGACCAATAGAAAAGGGGACAAGATAACTACTTGGGAGTTCAATAAGAGGAAATGGAAAGGCTAACAAAATCAAAGGTGCTCAACCTTAACAGTACCCAGAGATACAAAATAAAACCACAATGAAATACCTAAAATACACACATCCAAATATACAAAAGTTAAAAATCCAAACACAAATGTTGCCGAGGATGTGGAAAAATAAGTAAACTCTTATACATCACCAGCAGAAACATAAATAGGTATACTACTTTGGAAAATGGTGTGGTCTTACTTTTTAAAGTCCCACATGTGCAAAACCTAATAGTCAACCCACTTCTATTCTACTACATGTACATTAATAGACACAGACACAGACTTGTACTACAATGTTCACAACATTGTTCATAATAGCTAAAAATGAAAATAGTGTAAGTTATCAACAGTAGGAAGGATAAATCAATCTATATTAGGTTATTGTCCAGGAATGGAAGAAACTTCAGCTACACAGGATCCCCAGTGGCTGAATTCCACAGCATAATATTAAGTGGGAGAAGTGAATTACAGTAGAATACATACAGTATTAATTCCATTTATGTACCATCAATACCAGAAAGCATTCAACAGTATCTTGTTTAGAAATGCATACATGAATGGCAAAAGGAAGGGAATTATTGTAACAAAAGTCAGGGTAGTGATTACTTCCAGTGCAAGGAAGGCAATGTAATGATTGGGGCATTTTTCAGGTGCTGGTAATGTTCTATTTCTTAACTGGGTGCTAGTTGTACACGTATTTTTCACATTATTATTAAGATCAGTGTGTTTCATACACTTCTGCATGTATAACGTATTTTGCAATGCAAATGATTTTTAACGTGATTGGATAGGGCAATCTCTTAGGTTCTTTTTATCTTTGATGGTCTATTGCCAGGCTCTTCACAGCTGGACTTACTGTTGGCCCCTCATTGACAGTTCCATTTAAGCATGTGCATTAAGATGGATACACGGTGACTTAGACAGGAAACCTTGAAGAGAAAAGAGGACACACTAACAAAGAGAATCCCAGGAGACTGGAAGGAGTATCGACGATCTGATTTAAGCCCCTCTTCTCAGGGAGGGAATTGGGGTTTAACTGAGAGCTCCTGGGTTCCGGACCCGGTTCGGAACTGGACAAGTCTCTTCTCTAATTCCCAGTCTCCTCTTGCTGGCTTTATAAACAAACTGTGCCGTGACATTCAAATAGGAGGACTAATAATTATTATTCTTTTGCAGTTGGGAAAACTGAGGCCACAGAGGGTCGCCACTAGCCCAAGGTGGCATCACCACGCTGGCACTCAGGGCTTCTCTCCCAGGGCCTTACAGGAACTCCAACTCCCAGATCTGAGCACGGTCCCATCAAACAGCCACGCCCTCTCCTCCGGCTCTGGGCGCGGTTTGACGTCACAGAAGAACTGCCTGTCCTTCCCCCGCCCCTTCGGAAGCCCCGCCTCCTGCCCGGCTTCGCCTCGCTCGGCGTGCGTCAGGCCCCGCCCCCAGCGCTCGTGCCCCGCGCGGGTGGCCCTGGAACACCCCGTGCGGCCTCTCTTCCGGCCCCGCCCCTCCTTGGCTGCCATGACAACGAGTCGGCGCCCGGCGCTCAGCTGCTGCTCCGGCGGGACCCAGGCTGGACCGCGGGCCCCGGCCTGGGGGCCACAGCTGCCAACACCTAAGCCACCTCGTCTCCTCCCCGTCCTCGCCCAGCCCCAGGTGTCCCTGCCTCACTCGGGCCCGTGGCCGGGGTCGCTCCCCGCCGCCCCTCCCCGCGCGGATGCCGAAGGTGAAGGCGCTGCAGTGCGCCCTGGCGCTGGAGATCCGCTCAGTGAGTACCGGTAGCGCCTCCCATCGCTCGGGCGTTGGCTCAGGGACTCTCTCAGGTCGCCTCCGAGAGCCCGGAGTCACCCCAGAACCTTCACCCTCCAAATCATGCCTAGGGAGCGCCGACCCCACGCCCCGCTCGGTCCTGCCCCACCTCGCACTCTTGAGCGCCCTCCCATTCCCGCCACGCAGAGGCCTGACCCCTGCCCCGCTACGCTGGCTTCAGCCCGACTTCCAGCCTGCGCGCTTTCAGATTTTTGCCAAACCACTTCAGAGTTACTTTCCTCGCTCCAAACTTTCCAGTGAGAGACAATGTCTGTGCGCGGCGCGGGGGCTTTCTTTTCATTCCTCTGCTGGGCACCAGTTCTCTTAGAGAATCACTGCCCCCGCCTTTCCCAAATCTGGGGGTGGGGGCCGCATTTCCTCCCGAATCCCTGCAGGCACCCCACTTCAGACCAATTTCAAACTTCGCATTAATGAAGGGGCCTTTCTTTATTCTGTATTCAATAGAGAATCTTCACACCCAAAAACTGAAATGTGTCATTATGCACAGTACCTTGCCTTCCCTCCCAGAGCCTTACAGGAAAAACCCGACTCCTCAGAGATCACTTCAGGCCCCTCCCGTCCCCAGACCCTTCCGACTTTGTGCCAGTCATTGCAAGAAAGGCCCGTTCCACTTTTTGAGGGAAACTCTTCCTTCTCCAGACTTGCAACCCTACCCCTTCACTCTCCAGATCTGCTCTAGAGGATGATTTCCCCCATCCTCCTGTGGAAGTCCAGCTGGGGCAGAGAACTCCACTCATCCATTGAGGGGGCTGGACCTCTCCATTGTAGGAGAAAACTATCCCACTCGATGATTTCAGAAGACTCTTCCAAAGGTTTTGAACTTCTTCCCCTTCATTCTTTAGAGAACTCTCTCATTCTATTGTTCAGAGCTTGTCTGTTCTAGAGGAAGCCCCCTCTAGAACAGACAAGAGCCTTTCCACACCCCATTTTAGTCCTGCAGGCACAGACCTGTACGGAGTTTGGAACCAAAATTCACTATTCCGTCTCTTTTCACTCCTTACCCTCTAAGTCTTATCTATACTGTCTTCTCTTTGATTTCCTAGCAAAACTTGGGGGTTGAGGGTGCTTAAATATTTACCATTACTCTCCTAGGTGCTGCAGCCAGGAGCTCTCTGCATTTCCTTTCTGTACACTCTGCTGGCCAGGCTCCGTTTAACCGGTGCTTGCAGCATCCTGCCTTTCCTGGCTGGCCTTCCTCACACTAGAACGAGGTTGCCGCAGCACAGAACTGAAACCCCTAGGGAAGTCACAGGACTGTTTTAGGTCTTTGTTAGTCTTAAAGAAGGGAAGTCTGGGTGGGGCAGAGTGTGAGGCAGTGGTGGTAAAGTAGAAAAGTTTCTTGGACTCTCCCTTTACCTTCAAGCCTGCAGAAATTTTTCTCGGAAACTTTATAGCCCTAGCTTTACTTGTTTTTCTCCCAAAGCTGACATTGTTGACAACTTTTCCTAAAGTAAAAGTAGTTTAGCAGAAGAATACACGAAGCTTTCTCAACCCCTTGGCCCAGGAGAGTTAGTAAAACTCTAGAATTCAGCCTCAATAGATTTTGTTACTGGCTTCTTCCTCCTGCTAACCAATGGTGTTTAGCAGCCTGGTAAGTGCAGTTGCCTGACTGACTGACTGCAGCCTTCCTAACGTTGCCAATACAAACTTTCTAATAGGAAGTACTCTGTTGTGACTGATTACTGCTTGAAGGAGTCGGAGGAATAGCTACATTTCTCCCGAGTGTTAGTTGTATTGCAGAAAGTGAATTACTGTATAAGTCACTGTATAACTTATCAAAGCTAAAGAAAACTATGCAAGTGGAAATAATATTTTTTTCCAAACAAACATTTAAGCCACAGAATTTTATAGTTCTGAGAAATCTTAGATGGAAATCATTGGATTCAATTTACAGTCAAGAAAATCGATGCTTAGCATGGCTGTTATTTGTCTAGGATTGCACCACTGTTTAAAAGCAGATCTGCAACATGTTCTTGAATTTCCGAACAACAAAAACATTTTAAAATGGCTCTGATGCTCAGAAGAAGCAAACAAATAACTGCCCCCCGAAAAAAAAAACAAAACAAACAAACCTCAATAGCAAACATACAAGTTAAACATGTTTGATTGATTGATTGATTAATTTGGTTTTGATTCAATAGAGGAGTTATGTGACCCTAGATATTTTTTACTTCTTCATTTGGACTTTAGTTTTTTTCATTTCTATTTTCTTTTTACACTTACATGGTTCAAGTTCAAGACTATATAATATGATATACCCAGAGAAGTATTGCTTCCAGGCTCACAATTTTTTCCCACCTATACTCATCTACTTTCAGTAAACTTGTTCACTGGTTTTGTTATAAACAGATACACAAACTGTCACATACCACACACCATATATATGTATATATATTTTACTTTCCTTCTTTTTTAATGAAATAGATAGCATATAAACTATTCTGCACCTTGCTTTTCTTAGCTAAGTTTATCCTGGAGATCATTCTATATCTATTAAAACTGGCATCATCTTTTCTCCTCAACTTTTTAAATGAAATTTCTCAACTATACAGAGTACGTAGAAGAATAGTTGAATGAATAATTTTAATCAATGACCATGTACATTAATTTGATTTATCTATATGTATATTTATATATTATATATATATATATATTTTTTTTTTTGCTAAAAATTTGAAAGTAAATTGACATGATACTCTGCCCCTAAGTACTTCAGCATATGTCTTCTAAAAATAAGGAAACTAGCTGAGCATGTTGACAAGCACCTGTAGTTCCAGCTATTCAGGGGACTGAGGCAGGAGGATTGCTTGAGCCCAGGGGTTTGAGGCTGTAGTGTCCTGTGAGCACACCTGTGAGTAGCTCTGGTTTCCAGCCTGGGAAACACAGTGAGACCCTGTCTCTGAAATAAGTAAATAAATACGTTTTTAAAATAAGGATATCCTTCTGTATAACCCCAACAGCATTATTTCACCTAAGATAATTGGTGATAAATTCTTAATATTTAGTTCATATTCAAGTTTTTCTGGTTGTCCCAAACATGGATTCCATAGTTAACTTTTCCAAACCAGCATCCAGTCAAGGTTTATATGTTGCCTTTAATCATTTGATTGTTATGTCTTTGTAGTTCATTTTAATAGAGCAGTTCCATTTTTTAAATTCCCACAATATTCCCTTTTTTTTTCCTCAGTTGGTTTTGCTCAGTTCATACACTCATGTCACCATCACCCAGATCAAGAATTAGAAAACTTCCATTACCCCTCAGAATTCCCTTGTTCCTCTTTCAGGTCCATTCCAGACAGCACTGCTTTCTAGAGACAAATAAGTATTTGAGGTGATGGAAATGTTAATTAGCTTGATTTAATCATTTCAATGTATACATGTAGCAAAACATCACTTTGTACAGTGAGATACAAGTTTTGACAATTAAAAGAATGGATAAATATGTTGTGGTAAACACATACAATAGAATACTACTCTGCAATTCAAAGGAACTGCTGATGAAACCAACAACGTGGATGAATCTGAAAAGCGTGCTGCCCAAAAGAAGTTAGATACTATCACACCACGTGGCTCCAATGTGAAGTTTAAGTACTGGCAAACTAATGCATAGTGATAGAAATTGGAATAGTGTACACACACACACACACCCCCTCACACATACACGCACCGCATTTTCTTTAACCACTCATTCATTTCATTGACATTTAGGTTGCTTCCATATCATGAGTGTAGTGAATAATGCTGCAATGAATATGAGAGTGCAGATCTCTTCCATATACTGATTTCGTTTCCTTTGGATATATACCCAGAAGGGAGATTGCTGGATTATATGGTAGTTCTATTTTTAAGTATTTGAGGAACCTCCATATTGCTTTTTGTAATGGCTCTTCTAATTTACATTCTTACCAACAGTATACAAGGATTCCCTTCTCCACATTCTTTCCAAAACTTATAATTTTTTGTCTTTATTATAGTAGCCATTCTTACATGTGTGAGGTGATATTATAGTTTTGATTTGCATTTCCTTGATGATTAGAGATGGGAAGCACCTTTTCATATACCTGTTGGCCATTTGAGAAATCTAGTCAGATCTTTTGCCCATTTTTAAAATTAGATTTTTTTTGTTTTCTTGCTATTGAGTTGTTTGGGTCCTTACATATTTTGGATATTAACCCCTTATCAGATTTTTTTTCCCATTCTGTGTGATTTCTTTACTGTTAATTGTTTCCTTTGCTGTGCAGAAGCTTTTTACTCTGATGCTGTTTATTGTCTTGTGTTGATGGTTATTTGGGTTGTTTCCAGGTTATGGTTGTTATTGGATAATACTACTAAGAACATTCGTTCTTGTAAAAATCTTTTTGTGGACATTATCTTTTGAAGATACTTGGCTCAGATACTGAGAGTTCATGTTGTATTATTGCCTGATTTTTTCTTCTTTTGTGTTGACATTGATTTTTTCCCAATTTCTATAAACTGGAAATTAGGTGTTTTTATCTCTAATTGCCTGTTGAAAGTGTGCAATCTCATTCTTCTCTACCCCTTACATGCTTATTTTTTGCTGAAGTCTTATGTTAGTGATAATCTCATATGTGTAATGCTGTAGTAATATGAGAGTAAAAACATAGAAAGGTTTGGATATATAATACAACATTTTATGTTGCCCAACAGAGCCATATGACATGAGAGAAAATGCTGAGAGGAGAGTGTGACTTTTCTTAATTAATCTTTGGAGAATGATATGATATGCTAAGTAACTTGTTTTTAAAGAGCATCAAAAGAATTATGTTTTTCATCATTTACACTTTAAATCTTTAAAACATTTTATCTTTGATGGGAAGAAGCATTATTGCTGCTTTATTTCTTTACCTTCTTTTTATATTGAATATTTCAATTTTTATGAGTTTATTTGGGAAAATAGAAAGAAGATATTGGAAGTAA